ATCAACAAAACAATCCTAAACTTTCTGTCTGGCATCACAAACTATGAAAAAATAAATAGTTCAGAAATGTATTAGTTATAAGCAAGTATGCAATTTTAGGTAGACCATGACATCTGATTATTCTACAATAGTAAACTATGCGAGATTATATATATATATATATATATATATATATATATATATATATATATATATATTGCCTAGATGAGAAACTATATATTACTAAGTTTATAAAAAATAAAAATTTACTGAATCAGAGAAATGAAATACCTATTTTATGCCATCATTGTCAAAAATTTTCCTTAAATAATATTTAAAAATAAAATTAAAAAGCGCAACCTTATATTTAATGTGAAAAAATAATTTTATATACTGTAAGTAATTCTATTACATTTACTTGTTTTATAAATAAAAAAATATAGTCTATTAAAATTAACTGTGAAAATATTTTAAAGTTATATTTAAAATTGTAGTTAAAATGAATTCTAACCTAAACACCTCTCTCAAAATACTACAAGTACTTAAAAGAATCCAATAAAACACCTAAAGTAAAATGAAATTAAGATGAAAAGCTAGATGTAGGCCATTAAATGACCCATATCCTTTGTACATACATGAGAAACTATATATTACTAAGTTTATAAAAAATAAAGGTTTACTAAATCAGAGAAATGAATTAGCTATTTTTGCTGTCATTGTTATAAATTTTACTTAAATAATATTTAAATATAAAATTTTAAAAATTGTGACCTGGTAATATACATACTTATACTTGATATGGAAAAATAATTTTACTTACTGTAAGTAATTCTAATGAATTTAACTATTTTAAAAAGAAATATAGTCTATTAAAATTAACAGTGAAAATATTTTAAAGTTGTATTTAAAATCGTAGTTAAATAAAACGAATTCTAACTTAAACATCTTTTAAAATTGTAGTTAAATAAAACATATTCTAACCTAAGAATCCAATAAAACACCTACAGTAAAATGAAATTAATATGAAAAATTAGAAGATGTAGGCCATCAAATGACCCATGTCCTTTGTACTTACATGAGAAACTATATTACTAAGTTTATAAAAATAAAAGTTTACTAAATCAGAGAAATGAATTAGCTATTTTTGCCGTCATTATGATAAATTTTACTTAAATAATATTTAAATATAAATTTTTAAAAAATTGCGACCTAGTAATATACATACCTATACTTGATGTGAAAATAATTTTACATACTGTAAGTAATTCTAATACATTTACTTGTTTTAAAAAGAAATATAGTATATTAAAAATTAAAAGTGAAAATATTTTTTAAAATCGTAGTTAAATAAAACGTATTCTAACCTAAACACCCACCAAAAATCTTTAAGTATACAAATATATATTAGAATATATCTTGTCACTGATTTACTCACTATTATTCCGGTATAAAATTATATTTTTCACACACTATATATGATGCATTCAGCAAAGGAGGGAGCATATTCAACATTTGATAATTTTGTGGCAATACACGCTTAAAGATTTTAGGCAGTTTTGATCAACACTTCTTTTCATGGTTAGCCATAAGGAATTGTAAATGTATGACTATTTTACACTTAAGTAAACTAATAATGATAATATTTATTAAGAATTTATTACAGGAAATATCAAGTTTTATGGAAACATTGTTGACAATTATGTATTTAGTCACATAATAAATAAATAAAAATAATATAAATTTTGATGCTATATTCGATTTGTTGTTAGTTATTTAGGTGGTATAGTCCATTATCTCATCATGCTCATCAAAACTGGTATCGTTTTGTTCTTTGCTTTGGTTTATTTCTAGTTTTTCAGTCAAATTTCTATAATAACTTGCTGTATTTATTGGCATCAATTCAGTTAAATCTTAGATCTTTCATTTTATCCTTTGTTATTGGCAGCATTTTAGAATACTTTGGCTGCAATGCTAATTTTACTAAGTTGAACAAACTGAAGCTATAAGATTTTTCCCTTTTCATAATCTGACAGGATGACTACTTTGTGAGTTTGTATCATATGTAGTAGAAATTGCATAGTCTTCTTTGTACTGATGATCAAATATTAATTTTCTAGAGTTGACAAATTTAGCAGATGTTGATTTCCTTTTAATGATGCTTCATTTCAAAATTCAGATTGCTCCATTTCAATAACTAAAAAAACACTATGAAACCAATGTTCTTGCCACCGTGTTTGTATAATGTTATTGTAATGTTTCTTTATATTTCTTACAAATTGGATGCATAACTCCTTGAGTCATTACATTGGATCTAATACATATTCCAAAAAGATTCAAATATTGCTGAAACTTTTTCCAATCCACCAATTTTGTCAAAGCAATCTTTCTTGCATATACATGCTGGTCCTATTGCTTGTTTCTTGACAAATTTGTTTGTGTAACTACTGACATATTCTTCTACACTATTTTACACTTTTCTATACATTTGTAGGTACCACATATTGTATCAGTATAACTTAGTGAACATTTAAAATTCATCAGTTAATAGGTTAATGAATTTGTTTTATTATTTTATATTAATTTTTGTGTTAATATGCCAAATATGTTCACCAAAAACAAGTTTTAGTCATATATATTTGTAGCAACCTGCTGGACATTTGGTAAGTGGTGTACAATAATTGTTAGGAATGATGTCCCACTTGTTTACAACTTGGTGATAAAGATTTGTTTAGACATTTTTCCATCATTGTAGATTTTTAGATCACTTTCTTCCGGTAATTTTGATGCACAATAGTGAAATTCTGAAATTTGGAATGATCTTATTCCATTTCAAAAATAAAGCCTGTAAAAAGGAATATTTTGAATTAATATATGACCAAAAATAAAATGCTTTTGACAAAAAAAAAAAAAAAAAAAAAAAAAACCTTAATGATTTCACTATAATTATGTAACAATAATGTAATGATATTCCACAGACAAATCTACAGTTAACTTATCTCATGGTTACAAACTAAAAAAACTTAAAGTGAGCTTGAAATATTGTGTAATCATCTCTAATTTTTTGAGAAATACTTGGATATGATATAATGTATAATTTGCACTGAGAAAAGCAACTTTCAATTTTTTGTTATATATCCCTCCTCTGCTGAACAAGTCACACATACATATATATATATATATATATATATATATATATATATATATAACTGATGCATCACAACCGTTTTCCATCTTTTCATTTACTCACAATTATTCGTATAATTTTTTTTTTTTAAAATTCTATATAAGCCATTTTTCAGTTCTTTCCCGAGCCTGTCAAATATGGGGAGTAATAAGTCTCACCAAGACATGTCAGGCATAGACATGTTGACCACAATAATTTATTTTATGTAAGTATCTGTTACAAGTGATGGAATTTGTTTGAAATCATAAAGTGATGTGTTAGTAGCCCTAAGAGTGAAAAGGACCCACATCCAGATAAAAAGGTAAGCACTGAAATTATAGAGAATTGCAAACAAGAAATTTTTTGAAGGCTCCATTTGATGCTTGGATAAATTATGACAAAGACATTGGAAGAAAGCTATTCATGGATATTCAGATTATCAATATTGTCATGGAAGAACAATGGAAAAGTGAAGATATGCTGTATATTGAGAATCAAAGACTGGCACTTCTTGCAGACCCCATTAAGAAAGCCCTCAACATTTTGCAACTTTTCATGAAGTGCTATAAGTGCAAAAAGAAAGTCAATGCCAGTAAGATAATGTATTTTTCACTGACAAAAATATAGAAATGCAAGATCCTCAAACAACAATGACTAGATAGTTTCCTTACTAAACAATGATTGATTACCACCTCCATGAAATTTATTTACATCAACTTAACATCTTCAATGAACTCAGTGCACTTCCTGAGCATGTATAACAATGTTATTTCCAAAATGACATGATCCCCTTGAATTTTAAGCTTTATATTTGCATTATTTACTGTATTTTTTGATGTAGAAGACACATTTTTTTTACCCCAAAATTTGAAGTCAAAAATCTGCTTGTGTTCTATAAACTGAAGGTATATATGATATACAAAATATGTGCAAATATATTTAAACAGGTAGGCATAGTTAGGTTGGAAAATAGACTAGTATTTTCTTATTTTGATGTTTTCATATCTTTTGTGTTTAGAATAATATATATAGTAATTTTTAAGTTTTTTAAGTACCAGACTAAATTTTTGTTTAATAAAAATCTTTCAAATATCTCTGTAGCTTCACCCACCCCCCAAAAAACTTTGTATTCAAAATAAGAATGTATCTTATACACTAATGTGTCTTACATTCTAAAAAGAAAAATGGTAAATGACAAACAATGGCTTTTTTATATGTAAAATATCAATCTTTTTTCTTTTTTTTTTAAAAATACCATTTTTTACACATCTTATAAAATGAATAAAAGCAAAACCTTTAAACATGTTCTTAACAAATCTTAAGTTCGGCTTATGATCAGTTAATCTTATAAAAGTCATTGTCAAACGTGAAATAATATTAATTTGTTATGAATCAGCAAATTTTTATAATCTTATCTATAGGTAGGAAGAGGTTATTTTTTCTTTTAATTAGGACCCTTTTAAAAAGGTTTAAGCCTTTGTTGACAAGAACATTAGCCTAAAGGGATTTGATATCTAAACTAGCCATGAGTTTATCTGTTATATTTATCATCCTTAAACTCATGGGGAATTTGAATGTCAAATTTCTTTATGCTAACACTTGTCGATAAATGACTTGAATTTTTTAAAAATATCTTAAAATCAAAAATAAACCTCAGATATAAAAATTTTCCAACTCATAACAAATCAATGTTATTTCATTTTCAATAATGACTTTCACAAGCAGAAATTCAGATCACCGATTGGATAGAGTCTTCATCAGTTATCCTAACAATCAAGTATATCAATTAGATATGCACTTATCTAATTCAGGTAACTAACATTCCACTGTGTGTGTATGTGTGTGTAGTGGGGGTATGTTAATCAATATCATCTGGTATTTGGTCTTCAGCATGTAGTAACCAGGTAAGTACCATGATAGATAAAAAAACAGTAGCTGCATACATCAATGTGTACAGATAGCTGGACATCTTCTCCACAGAAAATCCAATGTACCTGAAATTTAAAGAGACAAAATTGAGATTTGGCAAATGTACGACAAAAAAAAAAAAAAAAAAAGATTCAAATAACAAATGAGAAAGGATATTTTTTGGTTTCAATTAATATACGAAGGTGCTGAAAAGTTTGAACTTTTTAGCAGCCCACATATTAATGCTTCTTCACATCATTTTCACAATGTGAACAAACATGAAAATATTAAAATGAACTGCATTGCATATTATATATTAGTTAATATCCTGTGGTATTTATTTATCCTTACTAACATTGATGATTTCCAAACACATTTTTAAGAGTTTATAGCAGAAATAGTAAGGAAATTACAAGAACTCCTATAAAAGGTAGTGAAGAAAAGCAAGAAAGGAATAATCAATTGCAAAAAGATGGAATGCATAGTTGTTAGCAAAAGGAAAAACATGAAAATTACAAATTGTAGATACCAAAATCAAACAAGTGTAACAAATAGCAAAGTGTTTTAAATGTGGCACCAAAATCTGAAGGCACATTGGAATAGAAAAGGTGCCTTCCAAAAGATAAGCAATGTATTAAAAAAACGAAAATTTTAATTAGAAACAAAGAAAAGAGTATTGAACTGTTATATAAAATTAGTCCTCCTATATTGCAGTGAATGCTGGACAATCTCCCCATAGATGAAAACTTAAAGACTTAAAGCAAAAAAAAAGTGGTTCTAATGAAGGATGCTGAGAATACCATGGACTGAACATGTGAACAATGAGGAAATTTTAGATAAATGAAAATAAGGACACAAACTTATCAGTTGAAATTTCTAGGGCACATGAGGAAAAAGGGCTTGGAAAATTTGATACTCTCAGGATATATTGAAGGCAAGAGGAAAACTGTGCAAAACCTACCTAGTGAGCCAGAGTAAATGGATGACAGAACAAGGTTTAGAAGAGATAACAAAAAGAGAAAATTTATTAAGAGCTACAATGGACAGGAAATTGTGGAGAGTCATAACTGCCAATGTCCTGAAGGGACATGGCACAGAGAAGAGTCATTTTTAAAAAATTATGTCTATGTAAATAGATAAAATGCTGATAAGTCTTTATATCTGCAACACTTTATATAAATTTAAGTAAGCCAGGTGATATGTCTTAAAATAAAAAACATCTACAAAAAGAAAATATTTTATGACTTTGAATTCACTTGGTTAAAATAATCAGTTGTTCATTGAAAAAATGCAAGAGGTGTATAATAAAGATTAATAGAGTAAAAATTCAAAGCCCATTACACTGTTAAATTACAAAAACTTACACTACCCATCAATTTCAATTTCATTTCATTTTTGGAAGTGCTATCTGATGATCCAGCATCCTTTAAAAGGGCTCTGGTGAAATAAATTATTATAATGGTACCTTAAAGTGGTCTGTTTTTCTTTTAAATATTAGCTCTGGATTTACATTGAGCTCTCAGGATTTCATCCTCCTTGGGATTACCCATACGGATTACCAAGTTTTTCATATCTCTCTCTCTCTCTCACACACACACACACACTTCTCACCTGTAAAACTCTTTTAGTTTCTTGCTTTCTCATAAACTATGATCATCAAAAATTTAAATGCAACATCAATTGTTATTTTCTGTCTCCTTCAATCCTCTCCTATTTATTTTTTCTTTTTAGTAACATTTTCTAAGTTTATTTCACTCTCAGTAACCCATTGTGTCTTAGTGACTATTATCTTGCTTGGGGTGAAATGATTAAATAAAAAAAAAAAAAATTTTTAAATTTAAAAAGTGTGCTTACACCTATATAAAGGAATGTTGAAAAGTTCTCAATGCAAACCACTTCCCAAAGTTGGTATTCTGATGTTTAGTCATTAAACTAATGATTTCAAGATGTGGGTTGGGCTGAGAACTTTTTAACACCCACTTGTACAACTTATATTAAAACAAACTGAATTACCCAATATTACAAGAGGCATGGTAGAGTAATGGATTGAAGAATTGGTGAGCCAAGTTCAAATTCCAGTCAAGTTCATTACATTCACTTATGTACTAATACACTTGGGAAAGCTATGAATCCAAATCTTCTCCCTCCCCAGCTATAGGTTGAATAGCAGGATAGACTAGGTTCTATAGCCCTGTATGGAAACTAGTCTAGGAGAAGGAAAAACTGAATTCAAAACTGTATGTCACCCTGGCAAAGCACAAACTATGCAGCTAACGAAAGGGTTGTTTGCATTGACTCAATGACCCTAACTATAGTCGACAAGAGTACAAATAAATCATTACTTGCAAGATTAAAAGTCTTGAACCAAATTCTAAAATGATAATAACAAAGAAAATTGTTTCTACATTTATTTTACTCAAGAATCTTTTGAAAAATTGATAAAAATTTCATCACACCTAGGATGCAGAAATTGACAATTTTGTGATACTCTTCAAAGAATTATCTTAATGTCAATTTTATATTTTGTCTAAAATTAATTTTATAAAATTTATTGAATTTGAATCTGAAGAAATAAATTGATTAGATCTACAAACTGCACAAAAAAAAAATTCCCTGACTTTTTTTTTTTTTTTGTAATTTTAAACTATTCCGATAAAAAAATGAATATTCTGATAATTATCCAAAATTGGTACCAGATGTATATAAAAAAAAAAATATTCCAATTTACCTTCAGTTAAAAATGCATTTCTATTTTCATAGTCATTATTAAATAATTATTTACTAAAAAAATAAATTGAACATGTTTTGTGTATGAACATATGAATGTCACATATAAACATACACACATACATATGAAAGTTAGATAACAAATTTATTTATACACACATTTAATATACATAGAAAAATAGAACATTAACAAAGAGAAATCCAAAAACCCAGTGAAATAAAACCAAATATCAAAACTTTTAAAAAGGCCCATACAGTTAAAAATAAATGTTCTAAGCTTAAACTTGACAGCACTTAATTCTAATCACTAATGATTAAATTTACAAACTAAATGCATGCTCAACATTTGACAAAGTTGGGATATATCAATATTTTGCCATGCATAAATGATACTTTCCAAAGCTATATATAAGGAAAGAACCTATAAGGAAGAAGCATTTGTTAAGGAATATTGTATGAAAATTTTAAAAAATTTTCCTTTTCATTAAGAATATAAATTTACAAATGAAAATTATAATATTTGAAAGTATACACAATTTTATTTTTTGCTTTTATTAAAATATATAAATAACTTCCTTTGTTTTCTATTTTTAAATTGAAAAAACTGAAATTTTAATGGGTTCATTACATTCATAATTAATCCACTTTTAAAACTGCTCATGAAAATTGAAAGACTTTCTGTAATATTTATTTTCTTAAGATGAAAATGTAATGTTTTAATTCAGTGACAGTTGTGTGGGACAATTTAATGTGGAAGAATGTTTAAAACTTATCCATTTTTATGTTTTCATTACTTGAAATTGTGAAATTTCTTAAAGTAATGAACAAACATATTTTAAATGGTTGAGAACTGCAAATAAGTTCACATGTCAGTTTTATTTTTTATAAATTCTCCCTTTTGTACAGTTTGTGTATATATTTTTTTAATAACAGTTCAAATTGAGTTCAATATATTTTCATAGCATAAGATTTTTTTTCTTTTTTCAGAAGGAAAAAAAAAGTCCTGGCAGACATGAAATTTCAAACTCTTTTTTCAATAACTGTGTTGTTGATGTTATTATAACATTTCAGCCAATCCATTAGTCCTCTTCAGGTAAATAATCCATAAAACTTTTTGGAGGTAGGAAAGTACCCAATAACTTTAGATATTTTTTTGAAGAAAGCTTTAATTAAAGGTTAAAGTGTTATAAAATTAATGAAACAAAGGTATTTCATTTTATTATGACTTAGAATATTAATAACATTTTACATTGTAACAGACAAATAATGTATAGCATAAAATATTTATATCTATAAAAAGAATGTATAAACATAAAAATGTCTTAAAATACTAGTTCATCTATACCATAAAAAAATAATGGGAATTTTTTTGCTAAGACATTACTATTACTTTTACTATTCTATCACTATTTCTATGTAAAGTGTTTAGACAAACTACATTCCTTAGTTCCACCATGCACATTGTAGCAAACAACCCTCATTTCCTTTGTATTCCAGTGTCTAGATGTAAGTTCCACTGGAACATCTTCTCCCCACTAACAGCTACTTTGTGGAATTCCCAAGAGGATTCTTCCCCAATCTTAACTTGTTCAAGTCTAGGGTTAACTGTTATCTTCCCCCACATATCTGCATAAAGTATGCCTCCCTTACCCTGTAACCCTTTACCTCAAGTGGCTCTTGTCAAAAAAAAAAAAAAAAAAAAAAAATGAATTATGATTTTATGTGATTTGTTGAATATATCAATAAATTGCCAGTGCAAGGGATATAACTCTAGTAAAGCAAAAAATTACAAATAGTAAAAAAAATGCTTTATTAAAAAAAAAAACCCTAGCATCTTTAATTTGTAACAGCTTTTCAACCCTCTTTTATACTATTCTTCAGTTTCTTTAACTCATGCTTTGCAAAGCCTTGGCTGAATAAAACGTAGAATCTGTTAGTATTTAAACTAAATTTATAAAAGATCAAACAAATAATAGATGAATTTTGATTAATTTGCCTTGTATTCTGTGTAACTGCCAAATGCTTTAAACAAACCAGAGCTACGTGATCTAAATATTTAAAAAAGAAAAAAAAGAAAAAGAAAAAGAAAAAGGTGCTTATAAAAGGAATGCTTTGCAATATGAACTGAACTTTGGAAAGCTAAAGTCTCTACAAGCTGAAATTTTGGAATGGAAAGAGAATCATATCTTGGACATTTGCTGAGAATCCAAATTTAGCAATTTTTTTTTTTTGACTGTGTGAACAGTCAGAAGACTGAATGTAATTGCTGTGTAAAAACATAAAATTTGAGGTGTTCATTGTATAGAATTATTTTTTTTAACTGTGGAAAGAGAGAGAGGACAAAATGTGAGTTTAATTG